AAATAATTATATATATCAGTAAGGTTTCAAGATTACTTTAGTCACGTTTGGGAACATTCTAGATTCATAATACAAACTGTGATTAAACAAACCTGATTACATAAAGAAGCCCTCCTTTGATAAAAACAAAATAATGTATTCCGCCCTTTTTTTTAGTAAAATCTATGGAAGAGATGTGTTTACTCCAATATACAGTAAAAGTCATTTGATATAACAGAGATTTCCCAATCCCAATGCACTTTGTCAAATTAAGATTCCAATGAATGCCCTTTTCCTTATAGCTATCTAAGGCCTTGTCTGAGCTCATTCATTTTTTTATGTCATGGAATCCAGATACAAAATGGAAAGGCTTATTGTAGACAACTTGTCTGCAGTTTAGGGAAACTTTATTCTAAGTTACTGTTACAGTTACAACTAGATTTAATTCAAAAATCAATTTTATTTAACTGTAATTAATCTCTTCACTCCCAAGTGTGCTAAGTCAAAATTGGGAAGAAATCTTTGAATTTCAATGTGCAGAATCAACAAAAACAAACAGTAAAACATGAAAGTACTGCTTGACAGCTTACCTTTAATTTTTACACACGAGAGCTTTATCCAAAGAAGGTACAACCACATAAAACCAAGTCAAAGCTTGACTCTGGGAGCAAAAGGGTTAAATATCATTTGTATCATCATCCAAAATTAAATGATTCATTTAAAGACTATGTTTTGACTGATAGTATTTCTTGCAATAAATATAATTCAAGTTATTGTATTTTATGGAAAAGAATCAACAGATTTTATTCACAATTTGTGTCAAACCAAATTTAATAATTGATTAGGACTATTTTATATGAATAGCAGTGACTGAGGATAATGCTTACAAAGTTTTCAAGAAAAAAAAGAATTAAATTCCATCCTAATGTTGCTACATGTTGATGTTAATATACAATCAAAAATATTTTACATGTAAACCAGAGTTAAGCATGTAAATAAATTTCACTGAATACTTGAATTTTTAGTTGGGATTTTTTAATTTTCTAGTATTTATTTCATGTTAGTTGCCTAAAATTCCCAGTAATTCTTAAACATTCTTAGAAATTCCTGAAAATTCCTAGGATTTTTTTGGCAAGTTTTTAGATTTACAGCCTTGCAGGGAAAGTTGTTGTTGCTCTTAGTTGGATATCCTAGGAATTAATTGGAATTCCAAGTCCTGTTGGCTATTAACTTGGAATTTCTAGGCAAAAGATAGAGAATAAATACTAGAAAATTAAAAATCCCAACTAAAAATTCAAGTATTCAGTGAAACATTTATTTACATGCATAAAACAGGGATAAAATAACTTGAAAAATAGGAAATAAATAGGAATAGGAATAAAAGACTGGTTTACATGTAAAATATTTTTGATTGTATATTAACATCAACATGTAGCAACATTAGGATGGAATTTAATTCTTTTTTTTCTTGAAAACTTTGTAAGCATTATCCTCAGTCACTGCTATTCATATAAAATAGGCCTAATCAATTATTAAATTTGGTTTGACACAAATTGTGAATAAAATCTGTTGATTCTTTTCCATAAAATACAATAACTTGAATTATATTTATTGCAAGAAATACTATCAGTCAAAACATAGTCTTTAAATGAGTCATTTAATTTTGGATGATGATGCAAATGATATTTAACCCTTTTGCTCCCAGAGTCAAGCTTTGACTTGGTTTTATGTGGTTGTACTTTCTTTGGATAAAGCTCTCGTGTGTAAAAATTAAAGGTAAGCTGTCAAGCAGTACTTTCATGTTTTACTGTTTGTTTTCGTTGATTCTGCACATTGAAATTCAAAGATTTCTTCCCAATTTTGACTTAGCACACTTGGGAGTGAAGAGATTAATTACAGTTAAATAAAATTGATTTTTGAATTAAATCTAGTTGTAACTGTAACAGTAACTTAGAATTAAGTTTCCCTAAACTGCAGACAAGTTGTCTACAATAAGCCTTTCCATTTTGTATCTGGATTCCATGACATAAAAAAATGAATGAGCTCAGACAAGGCCTTAGATAGCTATAAGGAAAAGGGCATTCATTGGAATCTTAATTTGACAAAGTGCATTGGGATTGGGAAATCTCTGTTATATCAAATGACTTTTACTGTATATTGGAGTAAACACATCTCTTCCATAGATTTTACTAAAAAAAAGGGCGGAATACATTTTTTGTTTTTATCAAAGGAGGGCTTCTTTATGTAATCAGGTTTGTTTAATCACAGTTTGTATTATGAATCTAGAATGTTCCCAAACGTGACTAAGGTAATCTTGAAACCTTACCGATATATATATGTTATTTGCCGGCTGGGAGGTCCGTTTGGTGAAAAACTGTGACCTCGGTCTTGAAAATACCGCCCGAGGGCAGCATTTTCAAGACCGAGGTCACAGTTTTTTACCATACGGACCGACCCTTAGCCGGTAAATAACATATTTATTGTTTTTAAACTTAACGAAATTCTTTCCGAAAGAACCCGAATGATTTATGGCCGTAAATACGGCAAGATCTTCCATAAACTGAACAATTTTTGAGTGAGTAAATGGTAGTTAAAATAGAGGTGATGCAAATTTAAGAGAGATGCCTCAGTGAAACATTTTCATTTCCGTAACGATAAAGGTGATTTAAAAGGCTTCCAAACAGACTTTGAAACATTATTTTTACAAGTATCTGTCACAATCTGACACCTGTCAATTAGAGAGCGCGCAAGAAAAAAAAAAGCGTAGGAACATTTGAAAACCAACAGAACTAGTTTGGCAAGGACTGTCACGACAATGTTTTCTTCAAAATCAGTTAATGATCTAACGGAAAGTATTATTCACTCTCATCGACCATTCATTTATGTTCGAAGATTTACCTCTGTTCATCAAATAAACGGCGAGGAAAGTAATTGTGAGTAAATTCAATTTTTTTATTTTGAAGTTGTGAGAGTTTGCTCGTTTGTTTGCTGTAATGGCGTGTTTACTCTGATCTTTCCTTCATAAAAACTAAATTCGAACGGCACACTCCAACGAGACACAAGGGAATATAATGCGGCCTTTTCTCAAAAAATTCCTTCAATTTCTGTGGTGCAATAAATGTCCAAATTGAACGGAATTGGAAAGACTCACCAGGAGCGTATATTTGTTGTAGAACTTAAATTAAAACTTCGCTCGCTCTTTCACTATGAACAAATTGCTCGAGAAAATTCAGATATTACTTGAATGAAAGTTCCATCGTTCAGTTTAACTGTAACCAAATACCTCACGTTTCAACTTTCTGGGTACTTTTTGTGAACGATTAAAATTAATTGCAGACGGTTTTTAGGCCGCTTGTCAACCAACGTAATGACACTATTGTTTATACAAATTCATTCTGAAACCAATATTTTTCTGTCAACCAAAGTGATTTGATAGAGAGAAAAGAGAGGATTCATAAGTTATTTATCGGCTTGAGGTAGTAACATACGTGATTGCTTAAAAATACTGCCCAGCCGGAAAACGAGGTATATTTATGAAAAATGACAACGAAAGTTGGGATGTACTCGGCGACTCACGAACACCCTACTTACACAATCTAAATGGCTAACACCCACGTAATCTAAATTTAGATCAGTGGGTTGAAGCCGTCCTAAATGATCATCTAAGTCTTCCCAGTAGCTCATTAGATATGCATAAACATTTCGACCAATCTGATCCTTCACTCTTCGGTGGACGAGCCAAGGTGATCGCTACGAAATGCGTCGGTTAAAGCCCGTTTTCTTAGATGTGAAGAATATTGGGCGCGATGGAAAGAAAACCACCGTATCGATTCCGCTGATTCCTCATAAGAGTACGGAGGAAAATAGTCAGGACACCAACAGTCCAGTAGAACAAGATGTCCCTCTTGGCGATCTCGATAAGCAGGAACTCTCTACTCAACAGCAAAATCGCGTTTTGAGTATCTCTGCTAACTGGGAAAAGGTACGGGAAAAGTTGCTGAATTCGTACATTGAAGAACAGCATCTCCCAGACAATGTGAACTGTGTGAACTGTCAAAAGAGTATCGCTACAACAAGATGTGAGTACTGTGGCCCTCGCCAGTACTTTTGTGTTGGATGTGCACGAGCTCTACATGTCAATCGAAACAAGTTTCATGTACTTGAGCAATGGAAGGTGTGTATGAATATTTTGGGGCCATTTGTATTCTAGCTACTTTTAGTGTAACATATCTTGCTTTCTTTATTTTAATAGGATGGGGTATTTTCTCCTTTGTATGCAGACGAGGCAACTGTTAGCTATGGCCATATGTGCAGAACCGCAGCAGTAAAGCTGTTCAGACTTCTGGATGCCTCAGGTCAGTTCATTTCATTTATAGTGGTTGGAGAATACTAGAATGGTTTAAAAACGAAGCGTTCTTTTTCAATTTTATCTGTTCCTTTTTCACATTTTCCTGCCGCTTGCCTAAAATCAAGAACGCTAATGATCTTAATGATAATGATACGATTTAAATTCTCTCAACATGTCAGGGCCAGTAACTAAAATCAAACAATCAGATTGCTCCATTGCCTGTCCAATATTCTCTAAGTATTGGACCGGGTAATGTCCTAAATGATCCCACGTGCAATTAAGTTTTTTAATGGCTTGTCAAAGAGAAACAATAAACTTGGCTTGCATCTATCCGTAAGAATCTTTTCTGTCATGCTGGGAGAATATTGGCCCTTGGACTTTTCTGTACAGACCTCGCTGCACTTGGTTTGTACTGTCAAGACCTTGGGCCAATATTCTCTTAGTATGGCCCTTGCACTTGGTTAATAAGGTGTCTATACAGCCCTCAACAAAGTAAGAGGTATTTAAAGCTGTATGTAATGTTTTTTTTTCATTTTATTTACTTAACTTCTTAAGTTGTTCATTTATTTTTCTATGAATGTCAGGAAATCATCACCTCAAATATGTACAAGTGTGTGATTGTGAGCCGCATGCTGTCACACTCTTGAAATGCCTGTTCTGGCCAGGGTCACCAGCAAATCCCACCACAGGATTCAGCTTCAAACTGATGGAGTTTGTGGAGAAGGTCTTTCTTCATTGTCAAGTGTCCCTGCTAAACATCACAGAAGTGATCACAGTGACATGACTTTTTTTAATTGATTGATTCTGGTTGAATGGTATGTTCTTTTTAGGTGAGCTCAATTTACAGTATCCTTAATTCAGAATGCTTTGAAGAATTCAGGTATGTTTGCATATAGGTTGAGAATATCAGAGCTGCTAATTTGTGGATGTACAATGTCTTCTAAGGTATTATTGATATTAGAATTAATATTATTTTTACTATTATTATTGTTGTTGTTCTTGTTATATTTAGTATTATTAATATTATTATTATTAGTAGTAGTAGAGGTAGTCACATGATTTACAAGTGCTTATTTATATTATTATTTTATTCATTTATTTATTATCTAGTCCCCCAGCTAATATAGATCTCAAACTCATGCTTTGCTTTTGTCGCTTTTGTGTTCATATGATTCAAAGATACATTGACTGTTTGCTTTAAGGTCAAGATTCCATTTACATTAATTTACAAAACATCTTTCTTGTTGTACATGTACATTTACTGACTTTCTTTAAGAAAGTCCTGATTGACATTTTGTTGTTTTCACATGAAGGTATTTCATGTATCAGTACAGGCATTGTACAAAGTACAAAGTACAATGGAAGTTTGTACAATGGAGCTTAGTGTCCTATATGTCCAAGGGTAACTATACATTGTAATTTGTTCTGAATAGTAGCTTGCACTGTAGTTCTGAAGTATTAATTTTATCACAGAACTGCAGTAAGTTCCATGCTGGAGAGGTTCTTTCAGCTTTAAGATCAAAAGGCAAAAACAAACTCTTTGACGAGAAAGGTGTCTTTGGGCGAGTATGCAGACATGACTTTCCCAAAGGATTCCATAACATAAAGCATGGTGAAAGGTATGGAGTATGTAAATACATTTTACCTAGTGTTGTGCTCAATCCTATATGTATTGTCTGTTAGAGAGTTACATGATAGAGCCATTATTATGAATTTGTCAAGCTGACAATTGGCACACTTGTATATACAATACAGGTGCATCCTATGATTCTTTACACTATTTTAATGTCATATTATAGGAAATATGTTCAATTTGTCTTAGTTTTGTGTAAAAAGATATAAAAGAAAAAATTGGTTATTGATTCACCTTTTCAACAATCTTTTCTCTCTACAGAATATCATACTCTGTTTATGAGCTTAAGAGGCTTAGAAGTCTTAATGAGAGCACCAGAAACAGAGTAATCATCATGTATGACATTGCTTGTCTATTAGCACACCATTTGAAGGTAACTAAATTTTTTTGAACATGGATGTGCAGGAGGCTAAATGGTAATCTAAAGTGGTATTTAATTATGTGGAATTGTCCAAAGTATTTTCTATTAAATTTGGGATGAAATAAAATAATTTATTGGAACAGACTGGAATTATGTGAATTGTGGAAAGGAAATGAAGATGTAATCATCAGAGTTATTTACTGAATTTTGAGCAATTGGCTTAATCAAATAAAATGTCATTTTTGCAACTGACGTAATTCCATTGTCTGTTTCATCACTTCCTTTCATGGGTACTGGCTTGCTCCCAACATATGGGGGTTCATAGTTCAGTGGGTAGAGCATTGCAATGACAATGTCATGGGCTCAAATCCCAGTGGGGCCAGATTCTTTTCTTCTTTGTGTTTGGTTAAATTCCCATTATTGCTTACATTTAAATTGCATGAATATCTGTGAGGATCACATCTTAACTTCAGAATAGTTTATTACTACTGACACAATTTTCATTTACATGTACATGATTATATTTATTAGTGTTCATCTCAGGAAAGCCTCTTGGAAGGTGTTGATGTTGCCATACCCATATTCCATTGCTATGGGCACAAGGCATCATGCCAGGTTAGTATATATCAGTTTAACAGTAAATGGCCTTGTGGCAATGTGAAGAAATGTGTGGCAATACCTCAACATTGGTTAAATACAGTTGTAATCATACACATCCCATACTTACCTACCAATGGGTGAGCAGTGTGGGATCTGAAATCTGACAGCAGTTTCTAAAATTGAAAGCAAATGATCTGCAAGGGTCAGCTAAGCAAGCAAGGTGAAATATTTAAGCACATGTACATGTTCCTTATAAAAGAGTGGCCACCCTACATAAGCCTATCAGCTTTGGAAATGACCACTAACCAGTGAGCCTTTACTCAAGGTTAATTTTACCTAGAATGAAAATTAAATTTTTAAGTATATAGCCTGCAGTGCAGGTGGTTTTGGTGGTTGTCATCTTTTGAGTGTTTGTTTTACTGGAAAGTTGGGGCAAAAATACAATGCGTGAGGAGGTCTCATGCTCCAACTCTCCACTGTTTTCCTAATTCAAGATGGTGCTTTGAACACTCAAGTTGGAAATATTCATTCACACTGCTAAAATCTGCCTGCACTGCAGGCTAGTACATGTATTTGCTAAATATCTGATGCAAGGTCCATGCCATATTAATGCTTTTATCTTCAATAATGGTTTTATCTTCAATATGATTGTCTGTAGATCCAGTACAGTCCAAGAAGGATCAAGGGAACTGGATTGACAGATGGTGAAGGGGTGGAAAGGTTATGGTCCTTTCTGCGAAGGTTTTCCTCTGTCACTAAAGAAATGAGTGCTCACAAAAGGACAGATGTTTTGACTGATGGGCTTCTTCACTATGCCCAACATTTGTATCACAAATTTGGTATGGTTAATTTTATTGAACACATAACTTTCACATTTCTGTGGGTTTTGCTGAAAAGTAAAAGGGATATCAACTATTGACCAGTACTTTAGCTGGACAGCTTTATCTACCCTGTGTTTTCTGTCGTAGTTGCAATTCTTCATTTTTTCAATATGGACATGTGTAATGTATGTACAGATGTAACTCGAGGTTGACTAGTCTTATTAGTACACATCAAACTGATTCCTTTTAATGTTCACAGGTTTTACTCTAAAAGCAAAGTTTGCAAGGGCAGAAATTCTTCTACAGGATGTCAGTGCAAAGCTTAAGGAACTCACTGAAAAACTTCCAGGTATACATTTTAAACCTTTTTTTTTTTTTTTTTACTCATTGCATTGAAAAACAGCACAATGACTTACATGCATGTTATATGATTAATTGCAAATTATACTTGTATTTACCTGTACTAGATTGTGATGATGATGTGATACAAGAGTGGCAAAAGGAAGAAGTTGAAGCACTGAAACCAAAAGAACACGGTAGTTTTATTCCTCAGCATTTGTTAACAATCATTAGGGAGAACAGTTTTTTTTGTATTCACTAATATATTATTAATCTGTCACAGGATTAATACTGCAGTGGGACGAATCATATGTCAGCTTGCTCCTCATGTCTAAAAAACTCAGGTATATAGTGTGTGGAAATACCACCTACCAAATTATTCATGACTTACATTAGCGAGTACCTGAGCTTTTCGAAAGCGATTAAACTTGTAAAAGGCGAAATTCCTACCTAACCAATCGTTGTAGTGGACTACGTGAAACTGATCCTTTAGTTGATTCATGGCATTACCTGATCCTTTGTGACCTCGGCTTAAATAGAGCTGTTTTGTAGAGCTTTCTTCGGTCAAACCCAGTCTGGTCAAGTCAGGTAAAAAACCAGTCAGCTCAGCGGTATTTAATAAATCCACTTTGGAGCCAACTTTGTCGTTGTTAGTCATTGTCTCGAGGATAGTCAACAGCCGTAATAGATTCCGGCCTTCCCGCAGCCAGCGAGTGCCCCCAGGAAAGCCTTTTCCCAGAAGAAGTTTATCGGGTTGTCCCCCGTCCGTCCGTTTATTTGTGAAGGCAAAAACCTGTTTTCACAATAATATAAATATAGTATTCGTACTCCCCTTTCTTTCCACCTTAGCAAATATAATTACTAAGTATTAAACTGAACATATTGTGTACGTATCTCCACCCATTTAAATTTTTTTTTCAGAAATGAATTGAGCTGTGTACAAGATGAAGATCAAGGGAAAGTAAAAGATGTTGAAAAGAAAATCAAACGGTAAGTCATAAATATGCAAATTCCTTCCTTGCAGCAACGACTGGAATAATCAGGTTCTGCAGACAGGGAATTAAGGGTGCCGAAATTAAAAACAAATAATAAATCTCTCTAACTTACATTTATTGTACATAGGAACGAGAAGGCCATAGTAGCCATGGAAAAGAAGCATCACATCAGAGAAAGATGGTCCGATCTGTCTCGTGTGTTTGTAACCGTTAAGTCACGTCTCTACGAGAAGAGAAAGAGCGAACTCTTGTTGAGTTTACATTGCATGGCATCCGAAAGATGTTTCTTGGTGGAATTGAAGCGAAAATATGCTGGTAATAAACTGAAGAAACTGCTATGTAAAATATTTAGTAGCATGTGTATTTTGGTGATCATGGTCTGCAGTAATTCCGTCGTTATGTTGCTGCGTATGCCCGTTGTTTTTAACTGCGACTCTAGGCATTGTACTGGGATTATTTGAG